CCGAAATAACTTCTACTTACACTTCAGACTGGGATTCCCCGTAATATGTAAACACTCAAGTGAGCGATTTAACTGGGGAAAATAAAGATTCGATTACAAAAAGTTGTCTCTTGTTATTTGCAGTTTTTAAAGAATATTATTACTTTAAATATAGTAAGCCGCTACAGTTTTTCCCTTTTAAATCATTTTATTCACTATTTTATCCTTTTATTACCTTTCCTTTAAAGTATATTTTTAACTTTTTCACTTTTCGGCCGATTCGCCGCTAGGGCGACATCAGCTCCACCGCTATTTTTTTACACATCCCATTAGGGAGTGACTTAAACAGCGCCACTTCTGTGGAACTATTTTTCTACCTCTTAGAGAGGGCCCTTATGCTAATTCTTTTTTACTTTTTTCTTTTCTTTTTTATTTTAAACATTAACTACTAAGTATCTTCTATTCTTATATTAATTTTGCATCTTGATATGCTAAACTAATTTTGAGTCATGTGCCTTTTTTAATTATTATGAACGAGGATTAAGGGTATAGAGTTACCCAGGTACCTCATTAAGCCTAGGCTGACTAAGTCTTCTAGGGGGTGTTGGTATTACTTATTATTTGGTGTGCAGCGCTGTCTAGATCAAGGCGTGCAACAAAAACTTTAACTGCAATCTTTTCAGGAGGTATAAACTTTCACTTCCACTTCCACTTCTACTATCTCTGTGATCATTGATACAAAAAAAAACACATGTACGATCAACTATATTTTTTAAGCATGTACCAATAATCTGAATATATTTATGGAGTGATTTGCATGTTGCATTTATTTATTATTGTTTATCGGATGCAACATACCAAAACACTTCAGGTGTATTACTAACTTTTTTGGTTCGACTCAGCGCGACCCAAATAATATGCTTCGCTACCCAATTTTGGGTCGAGACCCATAGGTTAAGAACCGCTGATCTATGGTATGGTTTAGCAATTCGCTTCCCGCGACACTGCGATATTCACGGCAGCGAACAAGCAGATATGTTGGTAAAGAAGGACACTCAAGCAATTCAACAGCCAAAGACTTCTATCACTTTCCAATTCCACAAACCTTTATATCAAAAATCTAACAAGACACAGATTGGAAGGCCTTGCTCACTTCTCGTGTTTCTTCAAGAAGTTGGAGGGATAGCTTAGAACAAAATATTTCAGATAAGCCCTGTGAAATTGGCTGTTGCAGAATTCAGACTCGCCATGACTGCCTGGCGAACCACCTTCACCGAATTGGTATTTTCACGAGTCCTAACTGCCCACTTCGTGGACGAGTCGTGGACAGGAACTATTTGTTGGGATGAACGGCTCTGCTCCGAGGTGAAGCGATGCTGGAGAGATCGACGTCTGCTGATGGCTTTTTTCTTTTATTGTGTTCTTTTTTTATTCCTGTTAATCTTATAAGAGTTTATTATTTTCCTTTCCAGTTTGTCATTTTCCTATTTAGTAATGGAACTATTTTTTGATTAATATAGCGACAGTAATGATATGGACAGTGATTGTAATTTAGGTTCTCAAGCTACTTACCGTATACTCTTTATTCGTCTGGAAAACTATGCCCCTTCCATTAAATTGAAATAAATGTAAGTAGTGAATATTGTTTATCTTTAGACAATAATTTTGCAAAAGTTTTTTTCATTTAAAGTGTAAGCACAACCTAAATTATTCTTAATTCTAAAAAGTCACCTAATTTAGCGATTAAAAGCGCTATTTGGCAAAACCATTAAAAAATGATGTAAATAGACTGCCGTAGCTGTGATAAAATTAGCACTTAAAGTATAGTATTATTTTAGAGTGTATAACGATAAACCTATTTCGGAAAATAACTTTTGAATCTTAAGAGGTAAAAATGCTTTCTTTTTTTCTCTCATTATTTTATCTTATCCAACGTTGTGAAAGTGCTGACGAATTTCAAAAGGTTAAGCCGAGGAAATCTTCGTGAAAAATATTTTAATCCTTTTTTTTTGCAGCTGTCATGATCTGTGGCAAATATCAATGTAAGTAAACAGATGACAATGGTCGTGTATTTAATCACTTCTCTGATTGGTATCTGAACTCACGATTTTTTTTTTGCACCTACAGGGGAGATGTATTAATTTTTCAATAATATTGTTACAACTGACTTACTTATAAAACATTGTATAAATTCCGTTGTTTCAGAACGATTCCTAAAGTCTTTGATGATATCTGCCTGGAGCTGCTTTGGAACATGCATCTTTTAAAATTTCTGACGTCTTTGATTTTAGCTATGTTTTTAGCTCTTACTTTATCCACTTGTAAGTACCCAAAATTAGGTTGTTTTTTTCTTTGTGCAAATCATAATTATGTGGTTTAAAACAGTGTATAAAACTGAATTATTTCTTTTTTAACAAGTGTTGAGCTTGTTAGTTATAATGAAAATAAAAAATAGGGCTGATGATAATTGTTTGTCAAATTTAAAAGAAAAATATTAAAAAATAAGTGAGCTAAAAAAAAGACATTAAATTTTTGACTGTCAAGAGTTTTGTAAAAGAGTAAAATTACTTCTCACTTGTTTCCTCGTATTAAGCAATTTTGTATTCGTTTGATTAATTTGTCTTTAAGCATATGATTATTTTTCCAATCCAGGTAATCAATACTTGCGTCACAATTAACATATAGTCTAGTAATTACAGCAGAGGGAAAGTGCTTCTTGGGAAAAATTAGCACCCAAGAAATCTGTTGACAAGCTAAAAGTTTAGAAGCAATAAGTGTTTCATGTACAATCTTGTACTTGGGCCTATTTTACGCATTTCACAAAACTGCACAGACAGCTGAGCTATTTTTCTGTGTATTTTTTCTCATTTAATCGAATAACACCAACTACACAAAGGCAATATTTGAATTGTTTTTATTATTAAAATAATCTTATATCTTCTGATCTATTGGTTCAACCATCTCGAAATTAGTCGCATTGCATGTGAAAAATTACATCGGAAAAAAAATCTTACTTATGCAGATAGTTCCAGGATAGTAGGAAACTATAATTATGTGTCGAAAGCAGTACCTTTCATACTATTGATCACATCTTGCAACATTTGAACTATTTGTTCGATTGACTAGTGCAGGGGTCGGCAACCTGTTTGTCCTTAAGGGCGCAATACTAAATTTGAAAATCACCGAGGGCGCATATTTTACAGATAATCATGCACAATCCTAAACTCTACTGACTACTTGCTGTATATCGCCGTTTGACAAGAGTTAAGTAAATCGCTCTGGCTATCATACATTTACATTAGTCCAGCGAGGGCGCATTAAAAATCGATCGGGGGCGCCACGGCGCCCGCGGGCGCCGCGTTGCCTACCCCTGGACTAGTGTATTATCATCATCATCAAAGTTGGCCAGATAGCCCAATGCCTTCCTCTGAAGATTTCTCCATCTTTTCATTAATTGCAAGATTTTTTTTTTTTTACTTGAGAATAGTCTTATTCAACTTAACGTTCTTACTTGTTTGGGTATCAATATCAGTTGAGTACAAGCATAATTTCGTATTGTAACCGTTCACAACGTCTAAACTATAGGTTCGATCGTCTCGAATCTCATTCAATTGAGAATAAAGAAGAAACATATCTGAAAATATACATCACTTGACTGTCAAAAAGAAACTAAATTCTCCCTCTCAAATTACTGATATTTTCCTAGAGAAAAGGAGGAGGCATAAAAAGGAAAGTAAGTGAGGTTTCAGGAATATAAAACGAGTGGGTTTCCACTAGGTCTGAGCGATGTTGAGGTTTTGACATCGTGATGTTTTGTCACGACAACATCGCGATATTTTGATGCACCACGATGTTTCGGTTCATTAATGTTTCCCATTCAGTATTGCGTAAATGCGCAATTAGTACGTTGCATTTTTTTATAATTATTTCTCAATATTTAAAGACATCGATATCTGGAAAATAGCGGTTAAAAAAGTTAAACGGCTGGATTTATTGCAAAAAAAAGCAACAGAATTTGTACACACACAATTAAAAAGAAAACCCTTCCATTACCAAGAGATTCAACAACACTTCGATTCTCAATCACATTCAGTAAAACGAGTCACGATGTCAAAAAAAAAAAACTGGGAAAGATCATCGCTACAGGTATCACTGCACCCGTACGGAGAAAAAAGCTCTTCGCGCGAGTTTTCAGACATCCATGTCCACCCATGTTATCAATGCCAACGATACATCGGGAAATATCCAAGCATCGGATAATTGTATAGTCTCGATATTTTCCGATGCATCGATTTATCGCTCAGTCCTAGTTTCCACCCCTTGTTCGCTTTAAAAATGTTCATACGGGAAAAAAATAATTCCGTCAGAATGTGAATAGACTGCGCTAAATAAGGTGGTTTCCGGAAAACAACATCTAATAAACCGTTGACGTTTCATCTGCTTTTTTAAAAAAAAATACAAATTCTTACAACACATTTTGAGACAAACTTTATATAAAACTAGCTGTTTCCCACTTCTATGTTAGCTTTTATCCGAGTTTAACCTTGAAGATTGTAAAATTTATCTGCTACTGGACTCAAGGCCTCATTTGAAAGTCGATCCTCTCTTAATTATGTTTAAACATTTGACGAAACTTCTACAGTACAGAACCCGTTATCCGGAAATCAGAAAACCGGAAAACCAAAAAACCGGAACGAAATTCGATAAATTTTTTCGCTATTTTTAAAAAAAAAAATTTTTTTTTTCTTCATAAGATTTTAGGATTTTTCTTTCTTTTTTGAACGATGTTTACCCTAGCATCATTTTGGAAATAATCATTAGTGTATTACTTCGTTTCTTCAAGATTATTTCCAAATATTTTTTTTTTTTTAGTTGTGTTTTACAGTAAAAATACGACTTTTTGTAGCAATTCAGAAAACCGGAAAAATCAGTTATCCGGAATAGTGATGGTCCCGATCGTTCCAGATTATCGGTTTCCTACTGTATTTACAAACTTATTTTCAGATATCATTCAGAACGACAATCATATTTTAACATCATTTTAAAAGATCTCTAACTGCATGCTTTCGCAGATACTCTTTAATCCACATTCTTTGAGAAATAGCTTTCAGGATATTCTGTATTCACATCTGAATGCCGCGCAAATAAATTAATGGTCTTCAATATATTTCAATTCAGTACGGTACTTTTATTCATTTTTGCCGTCTTATTTTTGTGCAATCTCATTAGAGCTGCACAAACAGAACTCATGCAGGAAAAAATTTAAATTTTGCTGAAATTTTAATATCTCTTTTGTTTTTTTAATCCATTATTTTCGATAGTAGTTAATTTACAATTACATTTAAAAAGTTGCTTTCTAATTTCAAATAATAAAATACTTAAATTAAACGATTTGCCTGTGCAAACACTACTGAAAGTCAGAGAAACGTATTTTTTACACTTAAATAAACAGAACCGAATAAAATCGGTATTTACCAAAAGAAGTTAGTTGTTATTGATTCATTTAAATAGCAATGAATTCACTGAAAAGTTTGAACAAAACGTTCCTGTATTTGTAGACAAACACGCAATTTATTTAATGCAGCGAAGCTGAGTTTGGTAAACATGAAAACATACTTTAAGGGGAAAAAATAATCCAGAGTATATTATTAAGTTGTTTACAACTAACTGTACTGTACTTAAAAAAATGTATTTCCCCCCATTTAAAGATACTATGTTTTAAAAACAATATCAGCAGTATTTACGATCATTCAGAGTCAATATTGCGTGTATGTTTATGTACATACGTAAAAAAATATACTTTGGGTATATAAAATGCGTAACAGAAAAACTGATTATATAAATTTTTTCAAATCCACACACTGATGCTGGGACATTTATTATTCTGGCGGATATTGTTTAAAATTATAAATATTATTATTTATATAACTTTAATAAGTGTTAATTATGAGTAAAGTTATGTTTTCGTTAGAAATATGCATTTTCTGAATTCGTATTTTATTATAATTATAAATTAAACTATAAGCCGTTTTGTCAGTAAACATTAAAAACAATGTGTGATTTTGAATATCTAATAGTTTCAACGGCATTCTCTAAAGATATAATGAATGCTACTAAAATTTCGGATGGAAAATATGTGTGCAGTGGCTATGAAGGAATTTTTCTACAAATTTTATTAGACTATCTGGGTTTCAAAGTGAAAATTATAAACTTCTATGATTTTAAAGGCTCCGGTTCACCCTTAGCATTCGTTGACTATAACATATCACATATGGCATTTGGACAAATTCTTTTGAATTACAACAGATTTGCAAAAGCTTATATGAGTTTTCCTTATAACATTATTCATATTTCATTTGTCGTAAAAAGATCTGTGCCATTATCGACAAAATTTGCATTTCTCTACCCATTTACTCTTAACATGTGGTTGGGACTCCTGTTAACATTATTATTACTTCCTCTTGTTGGTGTACTCACGCTGGACATTAAAATAACTTATGTAAATATGTGCTTGCAGATGTTGAGCAGCCTATTAAAGCAAGGGTTACAGTTCCCGATGATGTCTTTCAAGAGCAGACNTTTGTATTTCTTCCTCTTGTTGGTGTACTCACGCTGGACATTAAAATAACTTATGTAAATATGTGCTTGCAGATGTTGAGCAGCCTATTAAAGCAAGGGTTACAGTTCCCGATGATATCTTTCAAGAGCAGACTGTTTTTCACTGCATTCTTTTTCTTTTCGTTGGTGGTCTCTTTCAGCTTTTCTGCAGTTTTTTTCTCCTTTATGGTGAATCCCTTAAAAAACCCACCAGTGCGGAATTTCAAAGAATTGTCCGAAGCCGTAAAAAAGGGTACTCAGAAATGCTATGTTATTGATTCGTCAGCGATCATAAGTGTACTGCAGCACTCCTCTTATGATTATGTTCGGACCCTATATAAAAACGTTGAGGAAGCAGATACTTTTATTAAAGATAGGAACTTTGATTACCATGAAGCGCTTTCTAAAGTTAATGCAATTCTTAGAGAAGATATTTTCTTGGACTTGAAGTTCGGATCGGACCCTGACCTTTTCGTGTCAGACGACAGAATTTCACCCTCTATGATTGCATTATACATGGATAAAAATTTTTGCCTGAAGAATAAAATTAATACTTTTATATCGCGGATTTGGCAAAGTGGGTTATATCAAAAAATACCGAAAGACATTCAAATTAAAAAATATATTAAGGAAATAAAAAAACCTTCTGTGGAAGATACTCAACCATTAACACTACATGATATAGCGGGTGTTATAATTATATTACTTTTCGGTTATGTTATAT